GATTCTATATAGATACCCAAGTACTACTAATATCTAACACTGTATCAAAATATACATATCCATAGGAGGTTCTCTACCTCCAAAAAGAAACAACTTGCATGAGTACAACCCGGCTCTGATCGCAAGAGTACAGACAGTGAGACAGCTAAAGTAACCCTGTGGAGTACTTAACTAACAAAAGTAAAATCCTTGCTGCTGTAAACTAGCCTGCGCCTCTTTGTACTTCGGAAGAATTTTTCGAAATAGCATTCAAGAAAAAGAAAAGAAAAGAAAAGAAATAACAATAACGTTAGAACACTTAGCAAGAACATCTCCATTCGTCCTTAAGGAAAGAAAAACTACATATGGCAGAAGCTCTACCTAAAATATGCATAGTCCATCTCAACAAAACTCGTAAAAGTGAGAAAAACTCATAAATCTCGAAGAAAAACAACAATCATATGAGAGTATGAAAGAAAACTCATCATTTCAACTAACATCTCTATTTCTCAAAGAAAAAGACAATAATATGAAGGCATTAAGGAAAGCTCATCAATGCAACTAACATCTTAATTTCTCAAAGAAAACGACATTCATATGAAAGCATTAAAGAAAACTCATCCCATAATGATATAAGTTCAGAAACATAGGCATTCCTCAGCCTGTCTCCTATACATGATTAAATGGTTCACAACAAAATATAAATTTCCATTTAGAGTGACTCATTGTTCAACTCATATTTCTGCTAGGTGACTCATAGGCCTATCCCAGGTAACAATCTGTTGAGTGATGTATAGTCTCAACTCAGGTAACAATCTACTGAGTGGTGTATAGTCCCAACTCAGGTAACAACCTGCTGAGTGACTCGTAGGTCTACCTCAGACAATAATCTGCTGAGAGGCTAATAGGTCTAACCCAGGCCATATGCTTGTGTCATCATAAACAAGTTCATATCAACATATATTAAACTTATAATAGCCCATAATGAAATAGATGATCACCATTTAAAATCCGACTGCACCAATGTGATTGCCTACGTACCCTCTCTCTCAAGGGATCAAGCTGACCGTAGTTCATCAAATTTCTCAACGATACGTGCTCCCACGTATCACACAAATATAGAAATTTAGCCACGAGAGCTCTACATACACACGCGTGCACGCTTCAACTCCCACAGCACAAGCATATCACATACCACACATAAAAGCACTTCGTACATGCGCCCGAGGTTAAACCAACAAAATTAACAAATTTCGTCAAGATCTAATAATTTTTTTATTGAAAGAAGCTTGTTGAGTTTACTATCAAAACCACAAGTCATCTTATTTCATCCGAATAAGAGGCAAATTCTATGCAAAACAATCCAAGAGGGGTCAGATTGTCTTTCAGTGCACGTGTATAAACTTTAGCTGAGAAATTGAGACAACAAATAAAATCTAAATTGAACCAAACTAGTGCCAAATAAAATATGCATGAATCTAGTTTCCAAAATAGAAAACATTTCTTAAAAAAGAGTTTGTCTAGAGAAAGACATGCTCAATTAACTAACCACATGTTCTGCAGAAAACTGCGGCACGAGGCTAATAATACAAACATCGACATGCATGATTAAATAAACTCCAAATTGAGTCAAACCAGTGCCAAATAAAATCTGCGTGAATCTAGTTTCCAAAATAGAAAAACATTTCTTAAAAAGAGTTTGTTTAGAAAAAGATATGCTCAATTAACTAACTACATGTTCTGCAGAAAACTACTGCACGAGGCTGATAATATAAACATCGACATGCATACTTAAATAAACTCCAAATTGAGTCAAAATAGTGCCAAATAAAATCTATATGAATCTAGTTTCCAAAACATCAGACCATTCTTAAAATGAGTTTATCTAGAAAAAGATATACTCAATTAACTAACTACATGTTATGCAGAAAACTGCTGCGCGAGGCTGATACTACAAACATCGATATGCATACTTAAATAAACTCCAAATTGAGTCAAACTAGTGCTAAATGAAATTTGTATGAATATAGTTTTCAAAATAGAAAATATTTATTAAAAAAAGTTTGTCTAGAGAAACATATGCTCAATTAACTAACTACATGTTCTGCAGAAACAGCTGCACAAGGCTGATGCTACAAACATCAATATGCATACTTAAATAAACTCCAAATTGAGTCAAACCAGTGCCAAATGAAATATGTATGAAACTAGTTTCCAAAACATTATACCATTATTAAAATGAGTTTGTTTAGAAAAAGATATACTCAATTAACTAACTATATGTTCTGCAGAAAACTGCTGCACAAGGCTGATACTACAAACATCAACATGCATGCTTAAATAAACTCTAAATTGACTCAAACCAGTACTAAATAAAATATAAATGAATCTAGTTTCAAAAATAGAAAAAATTTCTTAAAAAGAGTTTGTTTAGAAAAAGATATGCTCAATTAACTAACCACATATTCGGCAGAAAACTGCTGCATAAGGCTGATACTACAAACATCGACATGCATGCTTAAATAAACTCCAAATTGAGTCAAACCAGTGCCAAATGAATTCTGTATGAATCTAGTTTCTAAAAAATCAGACCATTCTTAAAATAATTTTATTTAAAAAAGATATACTCAATTAACTAACCACATATTCTGCAGAAAACTGTTGCACGGGGCTGATACTACAAACATCGACATGCATGCCTAAATAAACTCCAAATTGAGTCAAACCAGTGCCAAATGAAATCTGTATGAATCTTTTTTCCAAAACATTAGACCATTTTTAAAATGAGTTTGTCTAGAAAAAGATATACTCAAATAACGAACCATATGTATGCTTAATTCATCTATTAGTCTATATTGATTACATAAAAATCCCTCCTTTATAATTTGATTATTCAAAATATGAGTATTTGATCATGAATCCAACTCAAGAATAGAACTAGATACAACATACAAAAAGAGGGCGAGGTTTGGAAGAGATAAACTTGCCTTGAAAGGGATTCGATCTCCGAAAATCAAAAATTAGCGGATCGGCCTTCACAAGAGTTGTAGATCCGCTCGATGCCAAGCTTTTTCATTCACAAAATTTTCTCAAATTCCTCCAAATAATTTTTAGCCTACTACGGCTATGTGTTCACCTGAGCATGAGAGAGGAGGAGAAGATGGTTGTGGAGGAGAGAGAACCTTCATGACAAAGTTATCCTCCCCCCTCTCTCTTATCCTTAAAAATAGGAATCAAATGCTTAGATTAAATCTACATTACTCAAACCCTTATCCAATGGTTCATGTTAAAAGTTGACCAAGTCAACTTTCCATAATGGATGACAACTTAAGTTAAAAGCAGATAAACATAATTATATATCCAGGTATTTTATCAGCTCGAAATTCAGCTAATTTTCTCCAGTACCAAAATAAATCGTCAATTTACCCCTGGTACAGTCTCGATGTTCTGAGAATGATGGTGCTAACCGCGCGTCCATCTGAGTTATAGATTAAATATTAAAAATAAAAAACTATAGGTTTCGATTTGGCTCGCGCCTCCGGAACCGAAACTGCAAACGAAGTCCAAATTGACCCAAACTGAGCTCAAAGCACAAAAACCACATTCTAAGATCGATGACATCATCCTGAGGCCCATCCGATCACTAAAAATAGCTCAAACTGCTGTACGATGGCAGAGTCGTGGTACCATAACTCGAGCTGCGAACAAACTCCAAATAAATTCTAACTGATTCCATTCGTCACAGGATGATAAGCACACATCATAAAACTTATAAAAGCTTAAATAAATTCTCTAATAAAATTATAAAAATTCTGGGGTTTTACAACCGTGTATATGCGTTGGTATTGAAATATCACACGCAGATGAATATGATGTGACCCACAACCAGCAGCTGGATGCGTACCACGCTCACTAATAGATAGTTACATCCCTAGTGCCATGATCGAAAGAGATTATGTAAGTTTTTAAACTAAATTAAAACGACAATTCTTTCTTTATCAATATATTATTTGCTAAGTTGTGTATATATTGATTAAATCGCAGATTAATACTTTTGGTGAGACCGAGGCTGATATAAATAAGCATATCAATGATATTCATGATCCGACAGTGTTAGGGATCTTCAATAGGATCTGACAAAGAATAGCAAATGTGTTCCATAAAAATCATGTTGACGAGTTTGAAGGACGTGAGGATAGGTCACGACAATTTGGTCAAGTGTACAGGTGAAGACGTAGGACAAATCAAAGAGCGGCGCATGACGATGGAGCCGACACTTCTCATAGCACAATGCATGCTGATGGAGCTGGCACTTCTCAGTCTCATACACAACCAGATACTCAGATCATTGAGGCTCATCAGCATGGACAGAGGGGGCAGGGAATTTGTTACTTTTGTGGATCGATTTTTATTTATATATGTGATTTTCGTGTGTATTGTTTGATTCATGGTTGAATTTTATGAATATTGTTGTAATTCAGTATATATCCGCAAATTTCATATTTATGGTTAGATTTTGATGTATATTATTTTGATATAAGAAACATGCACCAATTCTGTATATGTTTGGGGCAAGTTGCAGGCCAACTTGCCAGAGAGCTCGCTCTCTGAAAGTTGCTCTCTGAAACTTCATGTGATTTGAAATCCTGTGAAGTTTAAGCTTCACGGGATTTTAAATTCCGTGAAAATTTCGCCCCCTTAAAAACCTTGCTAATGAAGACTTAAACTTCACAGGATTTTAAATCCCGTAAAATTTTAAACTTTTTCACCATTTTCGAGTTGGCTGATATTGGATCAAAAATAATGAATATTTTTAAAAGAGGTAGATTTTATAAAATATGTTTCTAAAAAGTTCTATCTTGAAAATTTGTCCATTATAGTCACTCATCCTTCAATTCCTCCACAACCAAAATCCAACCAAATTTTTACGTACAAAATTAATAATAATAATAATAATAATAATAATAATAATAATAATAATAATAATAATAATAATAGTAACAGTAGTATAGAGAGGCGAACTCTCCCAGCCCAACACTTTCGTCATCATCGCCCCTCATTCTTCGTAATCTCCGAAGCCTCCATTATAATTCGAGCAAGAAAGAGAAATCATCAACCAATTTCCATTCAATTTTAATCCTCTCATTCTCATTCTCTCTCTTTGAAGTCTGTTGATTGAGATGGCCGCTGCTTCGATTGGATTCGTGCCGCCGTCGACTCGACCTGAGATTAGAGTAAGAAATCTGGCGAGTTTGAGGGTTTTTGGATCTGGGTTTCTATCGAATGCGAGGAATTCGAAGAGGGTTTGGACTCGGTGCTGCTCTGCTGCTGTTGAGGATCCCGTTGAAGGCACTTCTTCTTCTTCCTCGAGGAATCGGCTCCCGAGGTACCGAGATTTGTGTTAAAGTTTTGATTTTGATGGGTTCTGATTGCTGTTTGCTGTTGCTTTGCATGCGGATGTTGTTGTCATGATTCTTTTTTGTTGTTTGTTTTCTTTTGTATTGAACACTTACCTATTTGGATAGAACAAAAGGAAAAACACAAACGAGGAGCTCGGTTTTGTTTTTGTGATAGATTTTGCAGTTTAAAATTTCAAAATAGTAAGTCTTTGGTGTCACTGATTGGTGATTTTATGATTGGATCTTTTTTGGGGGTCATAAAGAATTTTATTCTTAAAACTTTATGAGGCATTTCCAGGTGCAGTATTATGGAATGGTTTTAGGTGACATTGGGATCTAATATCTAAGGATTGATTTTTTTAAAAATTAAAACCATATCATATTATGCTAAAAAAGAAAATACAACCAAAAGCCTCACCAGGAAGTATGACTCGTACTTATACCCAGGAGCTACAAAAGAAGTGAGACACCCCTCACTTTGTACATGATATAAAGCAAAATATGGGCACACCAATATCGCCCCTGAACAAAATACAAAACACAAAATTACAATATAGACCCTACTACAATAATCAGTAGAGAACATTCACAAGTCCAATTGAAAATTAGCTTGAAGCAGAAAATCTAACTGTTGGAACTCCCATCCTATCCAAGCACATGTGTCGGAGGACCTCTCGAGGCAGATCATGATAGTGGAAGAAGTAATAAACACTGTCAAGAGAATGGCCAAGTTTGGATAGTTCATCCGCCACCTCATTACCCTCTCGATATTATGGCTAACTGGAATGTGTAGGAGGAGCTGCTGGAGATACTTCCGTCGGTGGTGTATCTGCCAGAATGGGCTAGAACCCCCAAGAAAGTTGCATAATGCTTTGGAATCAGTCTGAGCACTGGTTGGTCTGACATTTATCACTGAAATCAAGTTTGCTCCTACGTGGAGAGCATGTATCTCACTCTACAAGCTGTTACCGGACCCTATAGGACCACTAAAAGAACAAACAAGGCCACCATTCTAGTCACGGACAATCCCTCCCACCGACATATTACCATCACGACACGAACCGTCAACATTTAAAGCGTAGGAGTTAGGGGTAGGAGGGGTCCAAAACACCGATAGGTTCCTTCTAAGGGGGAGGGGCTTTATGCTTGATACCCAATAACAGCAATACAAGCCATTCTACCCAAAACAAAGAAATGAGATTTTCCTTTACATTTTAAAAACCACCATTTTATTATATTGATAGTAGACGGCTGCGGAAAGAAAGGGACTGCAAAGACAGCACCAAAGAACTTCCATAGGGAGACAACAAGTTCACTATGAATAAAAAGATGGTTTATAGTTTCAGCTTGATGATTGCTGCAGCAAACACACCTAGAAGCTAATCATATGCCCGTGCGTTGAACTACAGAATCAATAGGTAAGATGTTATGAAAAAATTTCTGACAAACTAGTTTAGTAGAAATAGGTATAACAGTTCCCCAAATGTCAATCATAATAGAAATAGAGCCAAAAGAGGGTCTGATAGCATTCCATACAGATTTGAGTGAGAATTTACTATTTTTTTCAGGTGCCCAGTGTCTCACGTTATCATCTTCCTTTAGCTTGGGGGTAGCCTCATACAGCAGATGCACCACTTTAGGACCGAGAAGGGGACTGAGCTCATCAAAGTGCCACTAATCATTACGGTAAACTTCCTTAAGTTTAACCTTGCTATTCTGATTATCACAAAGAAGAGCAAAGTGAAACTCAGGAATCCACCTATCATACCAAAATGAAATTATTCCCAGCACCAATAGACCACACACAATGATCTACAAAGCATTGTTTAATAGCCAATATTTTTTCCATTCCTTGTAACACCTTTGAGGGCCTGGCCAGAGGAGAGGAGGCTCTGATATTTTGTATTTAGACCTCATGAATGAGGCCCAAATAGATGATGATTCACATAATAACCAACATTGTTTCATTAAGGAGGCTCTTTTGATGTCAATAAGCCTTCTGAACCCTAGACCACCCACTGAATACGGAAAGCACAATTTGTACCATTTAAGCCAATGTTTTCTCAGACCAAACTCAGAGGAACTTTAGAAAATTTTAGCAAACATCTGCTCAATTTTCTTTAGAACAATGACAGGAATTGAGGTGGCTGACAGCAAATGTGGAGGCATACTACGCAAGATATGTTTTATAAGTACCATTTTGCCAGCTTGAGTAAGCAGTTTTGTTTGCCAAGATTGCAATTTATATTTGATTTTGTCAAAAAGGGGCTGGTATAAGGAGATCTTGCGTCGCCCAGGACCTATAGGGACTCCAAGGTATTTGATAGGAAACTCCCCCCCTACAAAATTTCAGAGTTTTTTGAACCACTCTCACCCTAGGCAGAGAAGCTTTTGATGATAGGTAAAAATGACTTTTAGTGAAGTTTAGTTTTTTTACTAAAAGAGGCTTGGTATCTTTCCAGGAGTTGAAGAACTCTAGAAAGAGAAGACTTGGCTGAGTTGAGGAAAATAATTACAATATCTGCAAAGAAAAGGTGAGATGGACAGATAGATAGAGTACTAGAGTATCTAGGTGAGGGAGGAATCCAGTGAGAAAGGCCCAGGGATAGGATTTCTCAGGCAAGGATGAATAGACTTAGGGAAAGAGGGTCTCCTTGTCTAAGGCCTCTAGAAGCTTGAAAGAAACCTTTATAAATCCCTTGAAAAACTACAGAGAAATGACGTCGGCTGATACAGGCTTTGATCAGAGAGATCCACTCAGGAGAGAAACAAAATCTTTGGAGAATAGGCCATAGGAAGTCCCATTCCAACCAAGGTTTTAAATATCGGTTATCGGTGATTTATCAGACGGTCAAAATTCTTATCGGATAGCGGAAATCGGGGATAAGTAGTATTAATCAGAGTGATATACTGGATGATGTATATATATAATATAATAGCCAAAAAATATACTCTAACCATGCTTAATGAAATTTAAACATACCAAAATGTAAATAATCATGTTTAGAATCACTGACCAATTGTAGAAAGCGAAACTGGCATCTTGACCGCACGATAAAACCATTCGAGATTCACAAAGGATTAGGGATGAACTTGAAGTTAGAAACTTCATTTTATTGTCAAAAATGGGTCGGGTCGGGTTTAAGAACTCACTAAGTAACAACTAATTACCCAACAATTCAACTCAAAACTTATGCCGATAAAGCCAATATTTTCAGCCTCCCTTATCAGCCGGATAAGTGCCTTTATCGCCGATAACTCGCTGATAAACCCATAAAAACAATAACTAATTAAAAATCCTACTTATCCTAGCGGAAAGCTCCCAAATCCGATAACTCGATGATAATATCGGATTATCGGCCGATATTTAAAACCTTGATTCCAACTGTCATAGGCTTTTCCATGTCTAAATTTAGAATGATGTTAGGATATTTGGATTTTTTACCTATTTCTCTAGTGATTTCCTGGGCAAAAGCAATATTATCAATAATGCTCCTCCCCTTCACAAAAGCTCATTGGTTAGAAGAGATAAGGGATGGCAAGATGAGGGCAAGTCTAGCGCAAATGGCTTTAGCCAAAATTTTATATACAGTTGTGCAGAGACTAATGAATTTTAGGTCGTTAAGGCTAAGTACATGGAGTCTTTTGGGGACAAGAGTGAGAATGGTATGGTAAAGGATGATGGCAGATATTTGCAGACCAAGAATTTATTTGCAGCTGTCAGGATTGATTGGCTAATAGTCTCCCACATAGAGGTGAAAAAGGCAGCTGAAAACCCATTGATTCCAGCAGCACTATATGTTGGAATAGATAAAGTAGCCTCTTGAATTTCTGACATAGAGAATGGACTAAGAAGCATGGCATTAGTGTCTGCATTTATTAGACAAGGAACTAAAGATAAGAATTCGTCCTCACAAGACTGGCTTTCGGATGTAAGGAGGTTAGTGAAATATGATATGGATGCATCGTGTATAGCCTCAGGACCTAGGATGGTCTCATTGGAAGGGCCAGCAATGGAATCAAGTTTAGATAGTACTTGTTTGCATTTGACATAGCCCTGAAAGAAACAAGTGTTGGTATCTCCTTGTTTAAGCCATTTTAGTCTGGACTTTTTCTTCCAAAAAATAGCTTCCCAAATACAAGCTTCACACCAAAGAGATTTACATGCCGATAGCTTGTCATAGATATGTTGGTTCTAACCAGCTTGAAGATTACTTTTAAGGGAGCTAATTTCAGATTCAAGGCCAGCAATTTGTGCAAAGACATCAACAAAAGAATCCATTGTTTGAGTTTACTTCTGGTAGCTTTGAGTTTGAGGTGGAGATCCAAAAGAGGGGAGGAAGAAAAGGACTGCTGCCAAACTTGTTGGACATGGGGCTGAAAGTTTTCTTGTCTCGCCCACATCCTCTGAAATATCCAGAGTTTGGGACCTGTATAGGATGTAGCAGACCATGATACTAATATTGGGGAGTGATCAGAGAAATCTCTATACAATAAGGAAGCCGAGAGACCTCCAATGAATAGAGAATCAGCTGATTGAAGAACTCTGTCAAGTACTTGCCACATGTGTCGGAGGCCTTCCATATTGTTACACACTTACACTAGGTTAATTTTCCACCTGAAGTAAGGATCGTGATCATATAAAAATCATTTATGCATTGGCTGAATTCCTCCATAGATAGAGGTTGAGGCAGAGCAGTGGCGGATCTGTTCTTGTTCAAAGTGGTTCATTTGAACCACCTCAGATATGTTAGTTTGTAGCCTAGTGGTATAAGCATTAGCTTACCTTCAAAGAGGTCAAAGGTTCAAAACCTCCTACAGCTCTTTTATGTTTCTAATTTCTCCTATAATCCTTATTTTCTCTTTACATTTCTACTTTCTCCTATTTTCTCTTTATTATTATTTGTTTATTATTTTAATGCTTTCCTTAGTAGTATTTGAAAAAAAATTAGCGTTAATTTCGAACCACCACACGAGAGGTTGTGGATCCGCCACTGAGGCAGAGCCCCTCTAATTCTTTCATTGAGAGATCTAATAGAGTTGAGATCTCCATCCTAAATCCATGGATCCTGGATTTGTGATTTGATTAATCTCAAATGGTACCAAAGTTCCCTCCTCTTCTGAACAGTGTGCTTGCCATACACTGCAGAGAGGGAGAAACAATATCCCCCAATATTGACTCCCACCGAGATGCATTGAGTCGCTATAAGAATGAGTTGCACATTGACCCCTTGACGCCGGAGGATCCAGATTCCCCCCCGCAGCATTCATTAGTCAGTCAAAACCGGCTATCACTAAAGAAACTGAGGTTCCTAATGTAGGAACTATCAACAATAGGCTTTGAAATAATAACTAAGGTTTATGAGTTGTCATGAGGGACTTATAGTAGCCAAGACTATAAGGGTTGCTAATACCCTTGGCATTCCAAAAGAGAATTTTGATATTATTTATTAAGATGGGGGAAGGACTTTTTCTGGTGCTTAACTGGACATTAAGGGTTTTGTTTAGGTGCCTTTTTCCTTTTATGAACATTGTGGGTGATAGCCCTGGCCTTTAATTCATCCGAAGAGTGGCATTCAAGGGAGTGAGGTTCAATGTTATGATCATCATCTTCAAAGTAGACGGAGATAGAATCATCATCTGGGTCTTGAGCCTCTTGTAGGAGGGTGAAAGGGTTTGCAGATTCCACATCATTTGCCAAAGAGGAACCAGACTCCGAAGAGGATCTCACATGTCTAGCCTACTTTTGCGAGAATAGGGCATATGGGAAGGGTTAAAACTAGGAATTTCAGATTGAACATCCTCAACCTGGGCATTAGATTTGGCCAAGTTATTGGACTGGTCAATAAGAGCAATCTGATGGTTAACTCGTGCCTAAAAGGCCTCTTTTGCTGCTATATTGGACTGAATTGACTAAGAAGGCTGTGGTTGCTCATGAGAGGGATTTGCATCCTGTGGTTCAGCAAAGGGCACTAATTTACGAGACAAGCTTTACTGAAAGACAATGAGATGCAGGCGCTGGTTTATGAGGAGTAGTTGGAGCATGAGTCCTAGAA